ATGAGAGAGCTCTATTCAAATTCTCAAATAGGAAAATTTAGGTCTCGTTTGGCAACATCACCTTTTAATTTAAAAGTTAAAAAGTTATTAAAAAAATTAAAAAACTAACAATCTATATTAAAATGTTAAAGATCCTCTTTTCTCTCTATTTTTTACATATCTTTTCGTAAAAAATTAAAAAGTCATCCCAAATATACTATTTTTTTTTACATCATATTTTAGCCAAAAAAATCAAAAAGTGACTAAAAAAACATGTTCCCAAACAAGGTCTCAATCAAAAATTTTCCATTGGACTCTTATTTGGTGAAAATGACAACCTAATTTTTTTTCTTCATAAACCTTCTAAAGAGAAAATACATAATTGACTAAAGAGAGTAAAATATCTTCTTTCTTTTTTTTTTTTTCTTTCTTAGACAATATTATCAGAGTAACATGTTACTGTCAAACAGAGTAATTGTCAAACAGAGTAATATACTGTGAGACAGAATAATATATTACTGTCAAACAGAATAACATGTTACTGTTACTATTTACATCAATTTCAACGGTAATAATTTTTTTTTTTTAAGAATTTCAAAGTCAACATGTATCTTATTTGATAGATCATGATGAGAAAATTCTAAAAATATTAATTTTATTAAAAACCGATACCTACATCAAAAGTTATATTATTTTAAAATTTAATATTTTGATAATAGTGATATTTGTTGAATTTTTCAAAAAAAAAAAATTATGATTGTTCTTAATACATTAAAATTTTATTACGAGGAGGTTTTGATTAAATCTCAAAAAAAATACCTTGACTCAGGGAGAAACCATACCACCAAAAGACATCATCAATAGGTCTTCATAATTTATAAAATGACTCATAACTGTTAGTGTGATTTTATAGTTAAATTTTAATATAATTTTGGATTATTTACACAAACTTTCCCTAAACTATTGAGAAATATCACTTTGACTCCTTAAATTATAAAAACATACAAATAAATCTCTTAAACTATTGAAAAGTATCACTTTGCCTAATAAATTATAAAAGCGTACAAATAGACTATGTAAACTATAAAAACGTATCAATTGGACCCCTTAATGAAACGGTCAAAGTGAAACACATCAAAAAATTTTGAGAAGCTGACAATTTTATATATATATATATATATTTTTTTTTGTGAATTGGAAAATGCCCTGAGGCTACAAAGGAATATCAGAGGCCAAAAGAGCCTTGAAACCAGAAGGGAGGTTGCGTTCCCAGTCTAAGGGAAGAAGGTCATTGAGGTGAGTGTTGGCCAGCCAATGGGCCACTCGATTGGCTGTTCTGGAGACCCAAGAAAAGGTGAGAGATAATCGGCTACCCATAGTTTCGAATGTCATGAAAACAGGCTCTACTTTCCCATGAAGGAACCAATTCTGATGCACTTAACTCGATGACAGATTGGTTGTCACTCTCAACTTGGACACCAGACAAACCAAGAGCTTGAAGGAGAGAGCAGGCCAACTTAACTGCCTTCGCCTCGCTTTGAAGAACAGAGGACGACCGAACAGAGGATACAATGCCATCAACCAACTTACCAGTCCAGTCCCGAAGAACCACTGCAACAGAGGACTTCCGGCCATCAGGAGAGAGGCTGGCATTGCAATTAATTTTCAGCTGGCCTCGAGGGGGTGGAGTCCAGGAAGAACTACCAGTCCCAAGGGGGGTGAAGGAGGAGGGAACACCCTGGGGAGGTGCCAAACTGAGGTCTTGCCACAGGGAGGAAACTTGACGGATAACATGCAAAGGATTCAGAGACTTATGACAGAACACCCATTCGTTGCGCTCTTTCCAGATAAACCAACCCACCGTGGCTGCTTTACTGATCAAAGTTTTCCTGACCTTGAGGTTCATACTGAGCTCAATGATGGATTGGGTCCAAGTCCTCGCTGAAGAGATAAAGCCGTGTCCGGTGTGGAGGCCCAGATCACACGCAAACCAAACCGCACGAGTCCAAGCATAGTGAAACAAGAGGTGTTCAATAGACTCTAAGGCACCGCTGCAGATAGGACAAGCCTGGGAGGAGGCACACCGGCGACGAAACAAATTTTCTTTGGTGGCGAGCTTATTGCAGCACACTCTCCACCAGAAATTCCGAATCTTGGATGGGATAGGCAGCCCCCAGATAACTTTCTAGAAATCCTTGTGAACCGTAACTGAAGGAGAGGCGTTCTGAAAGTCGGAAAAAAGATCCCCAACCGCAACCTAATACCCACTACGGACTTCATACTGCCCAGATTTAGTGTAGTGCCAAACAAGGGAGTCATCAAGGTCTTCCGAAGAGATAGGGATGGATTCAATAGCATGCAGATCATCAGGGCGCAGTAGGTGGCAAAGAGCTATATGATCCCAATCCTTTCGGTGTGGGTGAATCAGATCTTTAACCAACTGAACATGACAGCCATCTGGTTTTGGAGTTGCAACTTTGAAGTCGTGAGGATGGGGCACCCATTTATCATCCCAAAAGCAAATGGACTTGCCATTCCCAACTTGCCATCTCAATCCCTTATCAAGAAGGTCGCGACCTGTAAGAAGGCTAGCCCATGCCCAAGACGGTCTTCATCCCCTAGACGCATCAAGAAAGTCAGAATAAGGGTGATAAACACTTTTCAGAACTTGAGCACAAAGAGATTGAGGGTTTTGGAGGAGCCGCCAAGCTTGTTTTGCAAGCAAAGCTCGGTTGAAAGATTTGAAGTCGCGGAAGCCCATCCCTCCTTTGGACTTAGTAAGCTTGGTTTGCAAGCAAAGCTTGGTTGAAAGATTTGAAGTCACAGAAGCCCATCCCTTATTTGGACTTAGCCAGTGTCAAGGTATCCTAGCTTGACCAGTGCAAACCTCTGCCCAAGGGGTCACTACCCCACCAAAAGTTGCTAATGTAAGAGTTTAAACGGTCACAAAACTTCTTTGGGAAGGCAAAACAAGCCATGGCATAAGCAGGGATTGCTTACACCACAGACTTGACAATAATCTCCTTACCAGCTTGTGATAACAAATGTTGTTTCCAATCTTGCATTTTACTGACAGCCCGTTCCATAAGAAAGCCCAAAATAGCATATTTTGATCTTTCCCAAGAGGATGGTAGACCCAAATACTTGGAGCTGCCGCTGATAGACCGAATCCCCAATAAGGAACACACCTCGTTTTTAACAGATGCCGACGAGTTTGCGGAGAATACAATTCCAGATTTATCAAAATTGATAAGTTGGCCCGAGGCAATGCTATAGTTAGCAATAGTGGATTTGAGGGCCAAACAATCTTTCTGATTTGCTTTTGCGAAGAGAAGCGTGTCATCCACGAAGAAAAGGTGTGTGAGAGTAGGGCACCCCCGCTTAAGCTTAATCCCAGAGAGTTGCTGAGCAAGTTGTCTCTTGGTGAGGGAGAGAGATAGTGCTTCTGTGATCAAAACAAATAGATACGGTGAAATGGGGTCGCCTTGGCATAAGCCTCGGGTAGGTATGAACGCAGCTCTCTTCAAACCATTCGCAAAAATAGCAAAAGAGACCGTAGACACAACTTCCATGATCCAACTGACCCATGTATTATTAAACCCCAACCTCTCCATAACTGCTTTTAAGAAGTCCCACTGCACTCGATCGTAAGCTTTGTTAAAATCAAGTTTGATTGCCATCTCATGCACCCCGCCTCTTTTTTTAAGCTTCAAATGGTGAAAGGCCTCGTGAGCTACAATAATAGTGTCCTGTATCATTCTCCCTGGAACAAAAGCAGACTGGTGAGGCGAGATAATATGTTGCAGAATGGGTTTAAGCCGATTGGCGAGAATTTTTGAGATGATCTTGAGATTGAAGTTGTAAAGGCTAATAGGGCGGTACTGGGATAGTTTCTCAGGGTTTGGGATTTTCGGAATAAGAACTAGGTTTGTTTGATTCCATTCCTTGAGAAGGTGCCCAATCGTGAAGAAACTCTGCACTGCTTCACACACTTTTGCCCCAACAACAGGCCAATATTTGTGATAAAAGATACCCGAAAACCCATCCAGTCCAGGAGTCTTTAAAAAGCCGAGTTGAAAAGCAGCTACTTTAATTTCCTCAGTCATCACAGGCTTAGTTAGGCTCAAGTTCATTTCAGTGGTAACAACAGGGTTCAATCCTGAGAGAGAGGCCTCCATGTCCCTTGGTTGCACACTAGTAAAGAGAGTGGAGAAGAAATCCAAGAGGTGGGTGTTTATCTCGGTGTCTGAAGTCAGCCATTGCCCAGTGTCATCCAATAGCCGAACTAGCTGATTTGTTTGCCTCCGTTGGGTGACCGATGCATGAAAGAATGATGAATTTTGATCTCCTGCAAGGGGGATAGGAACTAACCAACTTGAGTTTGAAGAGAGTAACAAAACAAGAAAATAATCTGAAAAATAAAAAATGGATAGGAGATACTGTATGGTCGTGTCAGACCGTTGTAGAAGACTGTATGTTTATGGCAGACTGATGTAGAAGACACTAGCTCGTGTTGGACCGATGTAGAAGACAGTTTATGGGGTCATGTCGGACCGTTGTAGCAGACAATGTTGTGACAGTTGTTGTGACAGTTTACGGAGTCTTGCTGGACCCTTGTAGAAACTAACCGAAATCAATGTCGGGACAGTTTACAGAGTCTTGTCGGACCCATGAAGGAGCTAACCAGAATCAATGTCGGGACAGTTTACAGAGTCTTGTCGGACCCCTAAAAAGTGGCACCCTCAAAAAGCGTGCCCAATCTTTCAAAAGGCGTGCCATTAAAAGGCATGCCCAATCCATAAAAAGGCGTGCCATCAAAAGGCGAGCCCAATACATAAAAAGGCGTGTCATCAAAAGGCGAGCCCAAGTCAGAATGTTTCATGAAGAAAAGTTTGAATTTCAGATTTATCTGTTTAGCGTAGATGGATTTAGTGAAGCTTCATGATGATCTTCTTTTGCATCTCTCTCTTGTGCTGAACATCTCCAAAGACTAAATTGTGAAGCCATTCTTGTGTTTTTTTGCACTGTTCATGTTAATTCTGCTGGTTGATGTTCTGCTAACCTCAGGTTTTGTAATTTATATTTTCATTCACATGCAGTGGCCAAAAGGTCATCACTTTTCGATGATCCAATTAAGGAAATTCAAGAATTAACTGCCTTGATAAAAGATGACATAACAGCACTTAATGTGGCAGTCTCCGATTTGCAAACCCTGCAAAACCTGGAGTTAGCTGATGGAAATTATTCAGAAGATAGAGCTGTTCATTCTACAACTGTTTGTGATGATTTGAAGAACAAACTTATGGGGGCTACCAAACAGTTTCAGGATGTACTGACCACTAGAACAGAGGTCAGTGCTAAATGGAATGGTACTAACATAATTCTACTTCTTTTTTCCCCCCCCTTTTTTTTCCCTTTCCTTTTTTGGCTTAAACAAGTAAGATGTGCAAGTCAGTGTGTGTGCTGTCATGTTCCTCTGTCCTATTGGGACTTGAACCCTACACCTCCTCATAGGGATAGAAAGAGATGCAGCTAAGCTAACAGTCATTGGTTCCTTAGCTTTACTTATATATTCTTATTATCATCACCATTGTCATCTTCATCTTTTTTTTTTCCTTTCTTTTTGCAGAATATCAAGGCTCACGAGAATAGGAAACTGATATTTTCTACAAATGTAGCAAGAGAGAATCCTTTGAGCAATCCTCCGAAAACTGTGACTGAACCACCTCCTTGGTCAAATTCATCTGGCAGTTTGCAACAGTCAGTGTAAGTTTTTTTTATGTTCAATATTTTCTCATGTAAATGAAATGTTTTAGAATGGAACATAAAGAAACAATACAATCTTAGATAAATTATTCATCTAAAGTAAAGTATTATAACCAAATATATTGTAAAGTATTCATCTCATCTGTACAGTTATGTGAACCAAATATATTGTTTGCAAATTTCACTTTTTGTAGTATTTTGGATGATTGCCTTCATAGTTCTAGTGTTAGTAGCCTAGCACCAAACTTATTGTATGTGTTTGTTTTGTGAAGCTAAATGGGATTCTTAACTTGATGTTCCTCCCTCCCTCCCTTTTTTTTCTTTTTCTTTTTCTTTTTCTTTTCACCAGGTCACCACCAGATGGGGTTCAAGTAGGCAGCCAATTGAGGTGTGTTCTCACATCATTATTCTAAATGCTAAAATTGAGTTTGATGTTCATACTCTTCTATCTAGCACTCTAGCTTGACCATGTTGCTAGTGAAATCTTTTAAGATCTGAAAAAATTGATGTATAGAGAAATAGAGAATTGTATTATTGATTTATATTTATTGTGTTTACAATGAGTCCTATATATAGAAGATTAAAGGAGGTAGGTATGTAGTAGGTGGAGTAGTAGGTGGAGTAGGTGAAGTGGGTGGAGTAGGTGTAGTGGTAGGTTTTGGTACATTTTAACAAGATCTTTCAGTCTTTGGGATATTTTTGGAGAGAGAAGTAGTGTGCATGAGGGGAGATGAAAGATAACACTCAGGAACTAAACAATTCATCTCTCTCTGCACTGCTGTGTGGATTCAACTCTTTCTCAGATATTCATTTACATATATCATCATGGCTCCAGCAGCAGCAACAGCACCTGCAGATTCGGTAAATCCTAGAGATGTTTGTATTGTGGGTGTTGCACGTACAACAATGGGTGGATTTCTTGGTTCTCTTTCACCTTTACCAGCCACTAAGCTTGGATCCATAGCTATTGGCACGACTCCAGCGATTTCCCTTGGAGGTGAAGTTCTGCCATGGTGAGGAAGGTGGTGGCGCCGGCACGGAGCTCCGTTGTGAAGGTGGTTTTGCGGTCGGCGAGTTTGAAGTGCTTTCCAACTTTGCTCTCTGCCCCCACGAGAGAGACAGAACCTGTATGTTTCAAGAAATGGGAGGTTCAAGAACGCAGACCATCAAGCAGTGGTGAACTCAAAGAGCAGCAGATTATCCATAGCCACATTCCAGAACCCAGCTCCAGAGGCAATAGTGTACCCATTAAAGATCAGAGAAGGAGAGAAGTCAATAATGGAGGAACCAATCACCTTCCCAGACATGTACAGAAGGAAGATGAGCAAAGACCTTGAACTTGCTAGGCTCAAGAAGCTTGCCAAAGAGCAGCAGCACTTGGAGAAAACCAAATTGAGAAAAACAAATCGGTGGCTGTCGTGTGGGCCGACGGAGTGAAGGTATGTGTAGAGGTCCGGCGGGCGGCCAAGGCGAGACTGCCGCCCGCCGGTGAAGCAGAATGACTAGGTTGTTAACCCTGCTCTGATACCATGTTGAAATTCAATGTATAAAGAGAATTGTATTATTGATTGATATTGTTGTGTTATCTATTACAAATGGTGAGGGGTTCCTTATATAGGAGATGTAGTGGAGTAGGTGGTAGTAGGTGGTAGTGGTAGGTGTGTAGTAGGTGGAAGTAGGTGGTGGTAGGTGTAGTAGGTGGAGTAGGTGATGGTAGGTTTTAACACCAACAACAGGCCAATATTTGTAATAAAAGATACCGAAAACCCATCCGGTCCAGGAGCCTTTAAAGAGCCGAGTTGAAAAGCAGCTACTTTAATTTCCTCAGTTGTCATAGGCTTAGTTAGGCTCAAGTTCATTTCAGTGGTAACAACAGGGTTCAATCCTGAGAGAGAGGCCTCCATGTCCCTTGGTTGCTCACTAGTAAAGAGAGTGGAGAAGAAATCCAAGAGGTGGGTGTTTATCTCGGTGTCTGAAGTCAGCCATTGCCCAGTGTCATCCAATAGCCAAACTAGCTGATTCCTTTGCCTCCGTTGGGTGACCGATGCATGAAAGAATGATGAATTTTGATCTCCTGCCTGTAACCAGCGAACCCTCGAACGCTGTTGTAGATACATTTTTTCCCTCAGTAAAATTTCAGACATCTCAGCTTGAATGGCTCTCTGATCTTGGAAAGACTCTTCCAAAGATGGCTGTGCTTGAAGACCTGCCAATTGGGCTCGTAAGGTGTTAAGCTTCAGCTTGTTATTGCCAAATTCTTTGGAACTCCACTCCCTTAGGCCGTTCTTGCAGGAATTAAGTCGCTGACAAAGAGAGAACATGGGAGAGCCCCTATGAATGCCTTCCCAGTGTGTTGCTATAATTTCTTGACAGAGGAGGGAAGTTGTCCACATGGATTCAAATTTGAAAAGCTTAGGCACACGTTGTTGGGGAAGACAGGTGTTGATAACCAGAGGACAATGATCAGAACCCAAGAGGATTTCATGAAAAACTTGAGCATAAGGAAATCGTTCCCTCCATTCCACATTAGCCAATGCACGGTCAAGTCGTTCCCGGACACACGCCTGACCCAGCTGATTGTTAGTCTAGGTGAAAGCAAGACCATGGAATTCCAAATCCAAGAGAGCACAGTCAGATATTACTCGCTGAAAGTTTTCAATTCTACCAGGATTAGGAGCATTGCCTCATTCCTTCTCCCATACTGAACCAATTTCGTTGAAATCACCAACACATAACCACGGTTGACAATTGTCATGGGCTATGGATTTGATTTGATCCCAAAAGCGTGCTCTTTGATGGAACCTTGGAGGTGCATAAAGGAAGGTTGCCAACCAATCCTCACCTGACCCAGAAATTAAACATCTCAACAAATTACTATTTTGTTGCCTGACATCAATATCAACCTCATGAGTCCACCACAGAGCCAAACCACCTGCTAAACCAACAGGATCCACATAACAGCTATTTGGGAAGCGAAAGCTCGTCCTTATTCTCTCAAGAACAACTTTTCGATTCTTTGTCTCCATTAAGAAAATGACTCCTGGGTGATGGGTTGTACACAACCCTCGTAAGATCTGGACTGTCAGGGGTCGCCCAATCCCCTGACAGTTCCAGCTGATTATAAACATGGCGACTGTGGCTATTGAGGGTCAGCCACCACCACCCTTTCAGAATCATCCAACTGGGTAACCGGGGGGTATGTATTAGGAACTTGTGAATAGAAATCTGATTCAGCCAAGCACGTCAGAATTTCAGCCTGAACTTCAATGTCCACCAATGCCAATTGGGGAGGCTCAGGAAGGGTATTCCTCTTATGCTTTGATGGTCTACCTCTACTCCCCTTCTTGCCAATGCAGATACCTTGACTGTGTCCAGCAATTGGTGTTAAGTTGATGACCAAGTCAGACTTGGGCTAATGCTCCAGTTTGAGGAATTTGGGTTGGGGTGAGAAATTGGGGGGCTCGTCCAGAGCCTTGCGTTTAAGGGAGAGGCCAGTAAAGACAGATGAGAGGAGGGACTCAGGGGCTTTTGGAAGATCCAAGGCTAATATTTCACTAGTAGTCTGTGAAGGGCTAGTTGGGCCACTCTGGGTTTGAGGATCATTGTGTGTTGACAGAAGCGATCGTGAGTGATCTTGTGAGATGGGGCTATCTGAGGGTTTGGTCACAAAGTAGGGTAGCCCAGAATGGGTTGGGCTTGGGGGCCTACCAAGTTTATACGGGCTGCTCTCAAAGAGTGGGCTGGGGTTAGGAGTATTGATATTGTTGAATGAGGGTGTGGGGGGAGTATGTAAAAAGGGAATATTCAGGGATAACGAAGGTTCAAAACTCTGGAAAATGGAGGGAGTACTAACCAGAGTTGTCGTTTTCCCAATATGAGCGCCACGTGTTGAGTGGTCGTGCATAACGGCTGGTTCTGAGTCTAGGCAAGGTGGTGGAGGTGAACGTGGTGCCCCAACTGTGGTCATACAAGATTGATTCGTAGCCTGGTTCACATGTACGGGATTTCCTTCCTTCAGGATTGGAGAGTATGGTTGCCGGAGAAGGGGTCGCAGCCAGGCTTCCATCTCATCAATCTAGTCTTGATAGTAAGCCACAGATAATCCCAGATTCTTGGCTACTCTAGTTCTCAGCCCAGGACCATAACCAGAAGTCCGACCTTCCTCTCGCGAGACAAATTTACATGCAGGTTTCTTGTGGCCAATGCGTCCACAATCATAGCAAAAATCTGAAAGTCTCTCATATTTAAATTCCACCCATGTGTCTTTAAGCTTCGACGAGTGGGCAGTTTGTCGTTTCAACATGAACCCTTTAGGGAGAGGAGCTGTTACATTGATCTCTACTCTAAGCCTTAGAAAACTTCGAGCTAACAGTAGCCCGTCTGATGGGGCCTCTACTCCAATTAGGTTACCAATCTTCACAGCAATGATTTGCCCATTCTTTCGGGTCATTTTCTCCATCGGTAAGTCGTGAACCTGGACCCAAAAGGGGCATAAGGAGAAGTCCATTTCCGATATTGTTTTGCCAACTTGCAGAGGCTGGAGTACCAATAGATTGCCCATAATCGACCAAGGAGTTTGCTGCAGAATCAGCGCTCGGTCATCCAGATTCCCAAAACTGAAAAGGAAGACATTATCAGGCCACGCTGAAATGTTAACAGAAGCACACGTTTTCCAGGCCCCTGAAAGAATACGTTGAACCGCTTGCGTATTGAGGGGTTTAGGGGCTAAAATCTTTCCAATCAAGCACAGGTGGGAGGTGTCAATACTCTCATTAGAGCCTTCCTCCAACTCCAGGGAGTCTGGCTCATTCAAACCCACGGGTTCGGTTGCCATCGTAAGCTCAGAAGACACTATAGGGAGAAAATGAGGGAGGGAAAAAACAAAGGGGGGCCAAGAAACTCACCACTAGGGAAAAGAGGAAAAAGTAAAGACGAAAGCACATAAATCTGGGAAGGACCCAGCAGAAATACCCAGAGGAGACCTAGGGTGGAGAAGCTCTCATTCAAGAGAGAGAGGCTCTCAACAGTTTAGGGGTCCCTACGTACACTTTTATAATTTAACTGGTCAAATGTTACTTTTTAATAGTTTAAAGGGCCTTCATGTAAATAATCCTATAATTTTTTAGTATTTAAATATCACTTATAAAACCTTGTAAGACCCTCTTGAAAATTGAATCTATGAATATTTTAACAGTAAATTACACTTTGCCCCTTTAAATTTGGTTATTTTGATACTTTGGCCCATTAAATTTATTTTTTTCCACTTTAACCTTTAATCTTACTAAACATTCTCAATCTGATAAATGTAGGGAGTAATTTACCTCCTCTATTATAGATTATAGAATGGAAGGCTTGCGTACTGTCGCTAGTCCAAATAAACTCCCATCCTATACCAGTACTAATCTCTCTCTCTCTATATACTCAAAAATTATTTCGTATCACATACTGTATTGTTACAAACACATTCAAACCATTGATTTGTGTGTGGATCCCATGTGATCTAGGTCTTGGATCATCACTGCCACGAATGGCAGTGAATAATGCTGTTTCATCCTTTTTTTTCCAAGGCTCATTACAGTGGAGCTAGCTCACGCTTATTTCCCACATTACCAGGCATTATATGTAATAGTAAGGCAATTCCTAGTTATTTCCCAGATTTGACTGTGACATTTTACTGTACAAGAGAGCTACTTGTTCTTGTTCAGTGGTAAAAATTTGAGCTGATAATCTTGAAGACTGAACTAGGCATACTTTATACACTTACCCTCGGGAGATCTAATCAGTTAAGATGTAAAGTTTCATCCAAGCAACCCAACAACTAAAAATGCACAAACATGTACAAACCCGCATCAAGCCGCATCTTCTCCTTCAAGAGGACACTGTACTACTCAACTCTATGCCAACTCAAATTCTGCCATTTAGCTCTATACATACCTCAAACATATTCCTTTATATCATATATCATATTGTATCAGAGCTAAGTTATCATGGGTTCAAGTCACGGGAGCCTCACGAGTGAAATTCAGGTCTAAAAGTGGTGCTAGGGGTGGGTAGGGCATCAACTCATATACTAATAATAATCTTCTAGATTTAACTTCATTTATCGGAGAGTACATACACGTTTCAGCTGGCCCTCGAAAGAATGATTGTGGACACTTGACTAAACTTTGTAAAAAAATCATCCAAATTTTCAAGATTTATTTGATGAAAAGCGTCTATTACAACCCTCCTCATACACCATCAAAAGTAACTAAATAAATTATCAGTTTTTTGGCGTATGAAGAAGTGAATTGTGAAACCATGTGTCATGAAATTACACTGCAGTTGGTTTGCTTGTGCCATGCTTACAAGCAATTCCTTGGTTTTGATTTTTCAATTCATTTCCAGCCACAAGAAAGAATGCAGTGTGCCTGAAAAACAAAAAAATGGACACAATGTCATATATATTAAACAAATAGAGATAGTTTAGTGTACCCGAAAATATAAAATAAAATAAAATAAAATAATTGAGTGGATAGTAGAGACAAAGAAGCGAAGAATGAAAATATGTACCTAAAAAAGTTGTTCATTTTGATCTTTGAGTCAGCGTCAATATCTGCTATGCAGTCCAATGCCTGTTGCATGTGATATAACCACCTCTCTGCAGCTTGATGAGTGACAGGAAACGGGCGGTGACGTCCAATCAGAGCAGGATGGCCTGCGTCGAAATAAAATAAATGAAATTTCACCTTCCAGATTTAAAAAAAAAAATGGTAAAAGCTATTGCAAGTTTCAAGTCCAAAAGATGTAATTCTATTATTATTATTAATTTCAGAATTGATCAATAAACTACATCAAAAAATTGAGGGCAATAAACCATAAGAAGGGGCACTGGACCAGCAATACAGGAGTCTACACAAAATTAATACAAGAACAATAACAAGAAGACAAGAGTCCCACTAATAAGAACTTCAGTTTCAAGTCTTGGTAAAGTCAAGTGAACAGAGCACCTCAGAAACTCTTATTAATATCAATATACAGCATTATATAGTGTACTAGTTTCTACAAAAACGTTTCTACACTTTGATCAGCCTAGAACAGTTCATCTGCTAGAATTTGCATTTATTCCAATTAAGGTGTCCGTTGGCTTTTGCAATCAACTAATTGTGACCGCTAACATAAAATACTATAGAAGTTGACGGCTCCGAAATGCAACTAATGACACTTGTTATTAAAGATCAACACATTCCATGGTAGAGATTAATACTGTGTTCTCACAAATATTAGACATGATTACAGACATTGTGTGCAGGGAGATGGTGAAAATAAAACTAGATGGTGACAATGATGTAATTTTTAAAAATAGAACCCAATGGAAATAGAAATGACTTAGATCTAGGGGGTATTGTTCTGCACCAATTTCTTCGTTTTTCGTTTGTTTATTCTCAGTTTATATTTTTTCAATTTTTTGAAATAAAAGTGATGAAAATTTTGAAAACACAGTTGGCTCTAAAAATGAAATAGAGAGGAAGTGAGATGGTGAAAATAGAACTTTATGATGCATCGTTGATGGTGTGTTGGAACACACTGTCCTAATGGCAATAATATGCCTTGGATGCTAGATGAACTAGAAAAACACATGCTACTAAACCATGTCAAGATGGAAGGAATTTTTGATACGAGGATTCGTTAAAACTCTCGACAGAATTTATGTTTTCTGACTAACAAAGAGGAGTTCATACCAAGGAAGATATCAAAATGAAAAGAAAGAAATATCAGGGTTATCTCCTCATTACACTCTATCCTATTAAGTTCTAACGTCAAAACATTTTTCATATTCCAGAATAAATATGAATGCTAATACCGCGCTGAACACTCCATAGTTAATACTGCAATGTGATAATGCAGTAAAACAAATATAGTACAGAGATCACACATTCATCTCACTCAACACAGTCAATTCTTTTGAATCTTTTAGGACTGTTCAAAGTAACTTGAAGTAAAACAACCTTATCTCTCAACATTGATAAGTGATTTAGCTCTCTCTCTCCCTCTCTCTCTCTCTCTCTCTCATATTTTTTCTAAGCCAGCAGTGAACACATATGATATTGAATCTCAAACACCTACATGTGGAAAACTAGGTGAATATTCCATTACAGAGCTAGGAAGTAGTGTGGGAAGAGCAGCCCTTCGTGATAAGATTTGTAAGAGTAATGGTACTGATCCCAAGGTACACCACTAACAGAGTGCAAGTATCCCAAGGAAAAAGAAAATCAATTGAGATACATTTGGAAGACAAGAATTTCCTAATATTATTTGTAATTTAGCAAATTAGATTGAGAACAAGCACATGTTCCACACTTGAGGTTCAAAAATTTTAAAAACTCTTAACAAAGTATGAAGACTTCAAACATGACAAAATAAAATAAAAAATAAAAGCTTGATGTATTGGACGAAGGAAATGTGTAATTAGGATTCTGGGTTTACTTTGTTTCTTAAGACTTCTTTTATATTGCTTCATATTACGCAGTACTGCCCATGTTTCTTTTATTTTTTGTAATTTTGGTTTCTACTTGATGTATTTTGGCAATCCCATGTGACAAACACTTTTTCAGTTGTAACCTTGTTTTATTTGAGTTGTAACTAGTATGCATCCATGAAAGAATTTAGTTGTGCGAATCCAATTCATGGATTTAAGTTGCAAGCAAAAAAGAGCAACCGAGCAGTGTTGATAGGCCTATATAGTTCAAACAACGGAATACCCAGCGGTGTGTACATGCTCGTTAGATTAGATCTCATTTAACTGTTTGAAAAACTGAGAGCTTTGATTTACTGCCCGGGTGATCTATGTTGGCAAAGTTAGTTATAAAAGCATGAAACTACATCATTTCCAAATCTAATAGCTTGGTTTCTTTCTCTAGAAATGCAAAACAGTTTCAAAACTCATCTAGTGAGAGACATACACATTGCTTGAAGTTCTATTAGAGATCTAAGAGCCTTAGAGCCTGAGCCTGAGCCTGAATTGATTATCTTCAATCCTCCATCTCATCATTTCTTATCTATGGTGAAGTCCTTTGGTGGATTCCAAAGGCATTTGTGAAGACCTTTGTTAAGAACCAGAGATGTGATCATGTCTTGGATTCGGTACTCTAGGTATCGATCTCGAGAGAGCAATGAACGTGGATTCAGCAAAAATGACTTAAGTCCATGGAGTGAGGGTTCACCAAGGATTGTAAGAAACTCTTGCAATTGCTCATTTTGAAGGTGGGGGTTTTTTCATTTTTCCTTTTTAATCTCAATTGGAGCCTCTCCAATTCACGTTAAAACGCTTGTCTCTATTAATTGTTTAAATTTGGTTGATTAATTACAAATTGGTGTAATCTAGCTATAGCTTGATCATTTTATTGATCGATTTGTTGATTGGTTGAATTGATCATCAAGTGTTTGATGATTTGACTAGTAGATCCACAAATATACCTTACAAGGAATTTCATTTTCAATTGTAAAATTTTGCATGCATGTAGTTGAAAGAATCAATTGAACCATGCAATTATTATCATCCTAATAAAGGTTAACATTAATATATCGTTCGTGCAATTCTACTAATGTATGATGGATTTCGCACCAAACAAATTTTAGGGAGCAAATAAAATGCTTGCTTGGCAATAGCAACCTATAGTGAACACCCACAATTTTTTGTAATGGCAAGAGCTCATCTATTTTGTGTACAGGTTTCTTTAGTTATATAATCTCACTGCAGAGTGCAGATAAACTGCAAAAGCAACAATCATATCACACTGCAGCAAAAGCAAAAGGAATACAGAGAAGAAAAAGAAAAAAAAAAACTACTACATAATATTAAAAATAAAAAATAAAAAAAAGGAAAATTACAACCAAAAAAACTGATGGTTTGATCCTTATAACAAAATAAATACTAAATTTTTAATTTTGTCAATTTAAACTCTAATCTTTTAATTTGTTTTCAATCTAAAACATCTGCATGTTTCCGTTAACTAAAACTAACCAAAAAAAGTATTTTAATCACTAAATTCAACAGAAAATGATATTTTAGACATTTTTCATACACCTACATCAGGTTTATGAACCAAAATACCATTTTTCTGTCAGTTTTACTTAACGAAAATGTACCTATAATTTAGATTGAAAATAAATCAAAAGATTATGATTTAAATTAACAAAATGAAAAACTCATTAGGGTCAAACACTTTCTTTCTTCTTCTTCTTCTTCTTCTTCTTTTTTTTCTTTTTTTTTTTTGTAATTTCCCCACCACCAAAACAAAAAAACAAAAAACAAAAAGCTACATTAGGAAATAAAAATGAATTTGTTACCCTTTCTCTGAGAATACAGAGGAGGCCCTCCCATTCTCTGCACAAAGAACTCGTATTGATTCTGAATTGCGTCTTCTTTCCTCGAATTTGCAAAAATTGACCGAAACCACTCTTCCTCATCATCATAAACCCTAATCTCCATTTCAAAACACAGAATAAAAAAATAAAAATAAAAAAAACCTTCAGATTCAGCTTAAACTACACCCAATCGGATATACACTACTAAAATGAATCATCGCCTGTTTGGAAGCCAAGAAAATTATGTGCAAGCGTCAAAACAAGTTGTGATTTTTTTTTCTTTTTTGGCTCCAAAAAAGACAATCCCAATAGCTCTGTTTGGCGGCAGAGAAAAAACTAAGGAAAATATGAATCCAATATGTTTCTTCACTTGGGTCCAAAACAACAAATGATTTCATTTTTTAATTTCTTTTTTTTTTTTTTTTTTGTGTGTGTGTGTGTGGTTCTAGCAACAAACAAAACATAAATTGAAAGATCAAAAAAATTGTTTTAATTTTCTAGTACTTGGGTTTTGCACATTTTGTTATCCCTACTTTTGTGATAAAATCAAAACATACAATAAGGGAATAATGTAATAATAGTGGAAAAGGAGGAGGAGGAGGTGGACCTGGTATAGAAATTGGTGGAGAGATCGACGAAGGTCTGAAGGCCGAGCTTTTCAAAGAGATTGGTGTTGTCTATGGCGAATGCATCGTTTCGGTCCACTCCGCTCCACTCTGACGCCTTATCCTGCAGAGACTGCATTCTCTCTCTCTCTCTCTCTCTCTCTCTCGCTCTCGATGAAGAAGAAGATGATGATGATCGATGAGTGTTTGTACAGCAGTGGAAGAGAGAGCTGATCAATGTTTTACACTGTTTGGTAATTAAAGTTGTGTTTGGTTGATATATTTAAAAAGAAATTTGAGAAGGAAAATGAAAAAAACAATGAATAAAATTATGTTAAATATAAATCTATTTTATTCATATTTTATTTTTATTTTTTCTTTTGAATCTCTTTTTAAATCTAAAGGGAGAAAATAAAATAAAAAAAATTAGTTTTTGTTTGGAGTTAATTTAAAAATTAGTTTTTGTTTGGAATCAATTTTTTTAATCTGACTTTTTTATTATTTGACTATTTTAATTTAAATAAAAAATTATATTTGGAATCATGATTGACTTTTTTTTTTTTTAATTAATTTGATGATTGGAAAAAAATAAAATGTTTATAATTATCTTATTGAAATAATCTCTTTTTGTCTTCATGGGCTAATCCCAAAGTTATCAGGTAAGAAAAGGAAAATGAGTGAGAGCACTAATTAGTACTATCACTAATGATGTGGTAGTGGGCCCTATCAAGAATGATTTAATGTTTTGGCCTTGGTGTTGTATTTTTTTTCTTTTTTTATTGAGTGTCATGTCATTAGTGGTCTTTTTAGAATTCCAAAATTAGTGGTCTCTATCATTGTTGCGGAAAAAAAACACACAAACACACAAAAAAAATTATTTGTGATTTATTTCTGAAAGTATAGTTTTGATTTTATGACAAAATAATAATTTTTTTGTCCCAAATATTAGTTTTTATTTTTTGAAAAATTTAAATTTTTTTTGGTAATACAATTATTACATTTTAAAATATTAATCCTTTCATCTTTTTTAAAAATTTCAATTGTCATAATTATACTTTTGTGTATATTAATGTTAATAAATTTAAAATAAGGAAAATTTACCTATTAAACTCATCTTGAGAAATTATGATCCATTTAGTCCAAAAGATTTTCTTATAGACTAATTAATCTTATTAATTTTGGAAATGTAGACTTAATATATTATTTGGAAATTAGATTTACGGTTATACCTTTATTTCTATTATGTTTTCTTTTCTTTTTTCTTTCTTTTGTACTAGAAATCCAAGATACACAATTTATAGGAATCAAATTTATGATGAATTTTTATATAAAAGTCTTTTTATTTGAAAAAAATTCAAAATGAGTATAAAAATTACTTGAAATATGAATTTTTCAAACATTCCAAATAGATGTAGGATTCTTTAAACATTTCAAAAGAAGTAAAAAAAACTCCTTAGTAAGCTTTGAGTAAATCTATAATTTCATACTGTAATACTCCAACATAACATTTTGAAAAAAACTCTTTAGTATAGTTTTTCTAAATTTAACACTCCAATATAATACCCAAAAAAAACTCTTTAGTGTAACAATTCAATGTAACACACAAAAAAAAATCATCTAGTGTACTTTTTCTAAATGTAACACTCCAACGTAACGCTCTAAAAAAAGAATGTGTGATTTTTCAAATCATTCCAAAAAGATATGGAATTCTTCAGACCATTCCAAAATGAGTAATACAAAATTTTCTTAGACAAATGTATAATTTCAAACTGTGAGTGTTACCTTTGAAAAAAGTATACTATAGAATTTTTTAGTATTTCTGTGCATGTTAAATTGGAGTGTTACTTTTGGAATTACAATGATTGAAGTGTTACATTTAGGAAATGTGCACTAAGAAATTTTTTTATGTGTTATATGGAAGTGTTACATGGGAAAAATACACTAAGGAATTTTTTTTGGGAATGTTACGTTATTAAGTTTGGAAAAAATATACTAAGAATGACAAAAAATTATATATTAAAAGATCATAATATTATATTTTGAAATTTATTAATATTTCACCCTTAAAAAAAATGACAAAATAAAAAATTCATATAATTTTAGACTTTAATTTTTGAATGTTGACTAATATTTTTGGTCAATAAAAAATTAAATAAAGAATTAATATTTTGAAAAGAAAGAAATATTAGTTAGTTTTATTTCAATCAATTTCTTTCCACTTTAAAAAAAATTTAAAATAGAAATTATGAGAGAAATATATTTCTTTTCAATTTTATTTTATTTTTTTCTATTTCTATCATATTCAAACAAAAAATTGAAATCAATTTCCCTCTTCTCTCCCGATCACTCAAACCAATCAAAGTGTTAAGAGTCCCATCTCATAGTGGGAAGTCGTGGGTCGTAGCGTGGTGGTCACGCTTTTTCGTGTGGATGGCACACCCTGTCCCTTTTTTAATATTCGGAGTTTTGAGCACTGGTTTAAAAAGTTAGACTTGGAGAAGGGACTAAAATAGTTAAAAAATAAAATTAATTTTTTAATTTTGATTTGGGACGTCTTAAATAAATGTATTTTTTGATTTTTTATAAAAAAATATGTAGAAAAGTAGAGAGGAGATGTTGATTGATGTAACTTAAAAAAGATAAAAAGATTGACTAAAATAGGTTATGCTAAACAAGGCTTAATGTTATAGATTTTTAAAAAACACAATTTCACAATTCTTATTCAAATGTGATTGGTTTAGAAAGGAAAGAAAAAGTAAAAAATATATTATTGATCCACATCATTTTAAGAGTTATGGGGATCCAACTTTGGGGGTCTCAAGCATTTTTCTTTTTAATTTCAGGATAAAAAATGTTACATTCAAATTATAATCATTTTATTTTTTCTTCCACAAAAGTAAAAAAAAAATCAAAAAACTTATTACAAACCAGACTTTTTAGTATCATGCTAAAATAGTTAAAAAGTCAACTCACATCCCAAACAAAACCTAGATCTATTTTTTAGTTTTTAGTGAATTATTTTTATTTTTTTTATATTTTAAATTTACTTAATTTAAATATACTTGAAAGGTATAAAATTTATAAATATATATATTTACAAAAATCACTTAATACAAAAATATATATAAAAATTTAATACATTTTTTATTTTTTTGTATTTATCTAATTTTTTAAAAAAAATCATAAATATTTTATTTTTAAATACATTTAGATTAAATGTATTTAAAAAAATTAATTAAAATACAAAAAAAATACTAAATTAACAAAATATGAAGAATAAAAAACTTTAAAATTATTTTTAAAAATTCAAAATCAAATAATTTTCTCAACTTATCATTAGAATTGCAAATATTTGTGCACATTTTAAATTTACATATGTATTTATTAAACTTGTACTTTACACACTTATATTAGTCGGAGAAAGAATATGTGAGGTGGCCATAGAGAGTGACTGGAGCGTTTTGAATGGTGTTATATCTAAGTTCGGTGGAGGGTCAGAAATTAAAATCCAAATTAAATATGAGCCTAATTGTTTAGGTCGCCCATTTTAAGCGACCAATAATGCCTAAAGGAGCATGGGCTAAAGTCCAAGAAAAGTGGGCAGCAATGAACCAAAGTAGGTCCGACCCACCAAAGGTCTGAATAGACTCCACAAATGAAAATGTCAAAGTGAAGTTGCAGACGTAACACTTACAGCGGTCAAGTTGTTGAGGCACTTTGCTTCAGCGCCGCCATTCCTAATATTATCGGTTCTACCGCCATCTGAAGTTGTTGAGGGAAAGACAGAAAGAGAAAATCGAAACAACTAAGTTGTAGAGGCAACCCTTGCAATGGTCAAGAGAGGATGATATGAAGAAATGATATCCAGACCTATTTCCACTTGATCCTAAATTCTTTCCGGAGGAAGGTAATTGAGTTTGGAAGACCATACGTCCTAAAAGGGAGAGGATGTGACAACCGTCTCCTTGATTAAGCAAATTAATTAGAGTGATTACGTGTTTAATGTTAATTGTATAATTGGATGGTGTTAAGTGTTATTGTTATGCCATGTGACTACTTGAAATGTGTTATTGTGGACAGATAGGTTAGAGTGAATATTAAACTTGTCTAATTCATTTGTTTTAACAAGTTAGAATTAAATCACACTACAAGAAAAGTGGATTTATGAGACGGAACTATTTGCGACGGCACACTTGCCGTCTCAAAAAGTCACTTTTTGCGACGGCAGAAAATGCCGTCTCAAAAAAGTAGAGTATTTGCGACGAAAGAAAATGCCGTCTCAAAAAAGAAGAGTATTTGCGACGGTAGAAAATGCCGTCTCAAAAAAGTAAAGTATTTGCGACGGAAGAAAATGCCGTCTCAAAAAAGAAGAGTATTTGCGACGGCACAATTTGCCGTCTCAAAAAATGAGAGTATTTGTATACTCTCATTTTTTGAGACGGCAAATTGTGCCGTCGCAAATACTCTTCTTTTTTGAGACGGCATTTTCTGCCTTCGCAAAAAGTGACTTTTGTGTTTTTTTTTTTTTTAGTGAATATTTTTAAAATTTTAAATATTTTTTTAAGATGCACCTTACTTAGATGTATTTAAAAAAAAATTATGATTTTTTTAAAAAAAATTAATAAATACATAAAAATACAAAAAAAAATGTATTGAATTATTGTATTTTTGGTATTTAGTGAATTTTCAAAAGATTTTTTTACAATTTTTTTAATTTTTAGGTGTATTTATGTTAGGTGTGTCTAAAAATTACAAAAAATACTTTAAATATTAAAAAAATTCAGTAAAAACAATATAACACGGAAACAAGAAAGTATAATTTTCTCAAAAGAGTTTTTGGAAAACTCTAACCTAGCATAGTGATTGTGGTTTTGAGACAGTTTCATATATATACAGTCACAAAATGGTTTGAATAAATTCAACGGTATTTTTCTATCGCAAAAAAAATTTAAAAAAATAATGTCGTCTTGCTCTTTTGATATAACAGTTCTCTTTTCATTCATTTTTTCATCTTCCTGTCTCTCTGTCTCTATCTATCTCTCTCTCTCTTCTCTTTATCTCTTTCACTCATCACTCTTCTTTCTCTGTCTGTTTGTTTCTCTCTATCATTTTCTCTCTGTGTCTTTCGCCTATCTCTCTTCTCTCTATCTCTTGCATCTGTTTTCTCTCTCTATCTCTCTCGCTCATCTCTCTTCTCTCTATCTCTCTCATTTCTTCTCTCTCTCTCTCTCTCTCTCTCTCTCTTTTATCTTTCTATCTCTCTC